GGCTGCAACTATTCGATGTATACTAACACACTCACACACACACAAATATTCTATATACTCGCTTGCCAACAAATGCGTTTGCTTAGCTTTGATTTAGTTGTTGCTCCATTGCACTTTTTCTGTGGCAAATCTGCGATATTCTTTAACAGCTTCGAGTTGGTTGATTTGAGTTTAGTTGGCACTCTCTTTTTTTTCTTAGCAAATTTTATTTTTATTGACAGATTTTACGTATTTTTTTCTTTTACTTTTTGCCATCGTTGGCTTTCTCGCATCTAAGATTGGCAAAATTTTATGCAAATTGTCTTGTTGAAATTTATGTGGTGCCAAATATGCGCAGCTCATAATCGAAATGAATTGTTAAGCAAGTGCAATAAGGCGACGAAGAGTGTTTGGAACAAAAAAATGTAGGGATAAATTTAAAAAAGTGTTGCATTTCCAAAGGCCTTGAGGGCGCATTTGTAGCGAGGAATTCCAACTACTATGTGACTTAAAGAAAAAAAATTAAAAGAAAAATTAACGAGTATTTATGAGTGAGTATAAAACTCTTAACACTTATTAAAAATTACAAAAAAAAAATTTAAATTCTTATTTGATATATATTTTTTTTGATATGCACAAAATATTTGCGCCTATATCTTTTTCTAAAACTAATAGGTTATTTGAAAACCGGATTCGTAAATTTCGGTCAAATTCTTCGGAAGTTTATCGCTTCAGTATGAGTTCATTCACCATTTTTGTGGCAGCTTTTGATAGTATCAAAAGCTTTCCTGGGGTTCACTTCAAATTTGGAACCAATATACTTACGAAGGTAGGTCGAACACGGACTATCCCACCTTTGTGTGATTTTGAACGAGATTCTTAAATAAATTAATTTACTTAACTATATTCTAATGGGAATATCTATTTCTATTTGATCTATACAGCCCCATTCTGCTTCTTACCGTACATTTTGTAGCCGAGAAATTTTGTTCCCGAAAATTGTCACCACTTCTGGTAATCGCAATTCTCCCTACCTTGGAAACATTTTAATTTATTCAGCTCTAAAGTTTCGTGGAAATTCTGGTATGGCACATTTCATTTTGTTACTTGCTTATGAGATGGTAAAAAAGTTTACGGGTTACAAAAGTACGCAGAGTGCGAAATAGGTTTAAAAATTTAGAAGAACTCTATTTACTGGTAGCAAAATTTTTATTACCAACGCAGAATAGGCCTGATAGGTTGCAAAAGGTGCTCTAAGCCGCACGCCACGCCATCTTTCTATTTCTCAGAAGTTCGTCGCGGCAGGGAAAAGGTAAAGCATATACATTAGGGTAGTCCTTAAAATAGTAACATCAATTTTGTTCTAATTAAATCATAAAGACATCCACGAAAATAGTAAAAACATTTTTAGTGGTCCCTACCAGGGTTTGGCAAAATTTATTTATTTTAAATCGCAAAATCTTGACTTTGAGCAGCTACCTATAACTCAGCGATTTTATGAATTTATATGAATAAATTTTCATAATATATCAAATCAGATTTTAAGCCGAAATAGTGTCGCGCTTTTTTGTGATTTTAAAAAAGAATTTAATTTTTTTCAAACCCTGTAGCAGCCCTAAAAAGGTGTCCTAGACCACCCGCCCACTCCCTATAAAGTGGAGGCAAATGAGGAATGCTCGATCTTTTGGTGGCATTACCGACCTCCCGTTTCGACGTCGATTTTCGGGTTAAACGGACCAGGAGTTCCTTTTTTTTAAATTAGACATACATACATGCACATTTTTGTTTTTTTTTTTGCAATGGACTTCCGATCTTTTTAACCCACTTCTGGTCGAAACCGGAAATCGGTAGTAATTCATATCTTTTCGTTTTCCAATAAAAATATGTTCACTAATTTCAGCAGTCCAGGATAAGTTGAAGTTCGAAGGCCATTTAGAGGTTGAAAAAGGCAGTTCCGAGAAAAAAGTTTCTTACAAAAGTTACGTATTTTTTATCCTTGAATCCGAATCTGTAGTAAACACATGTGTGTCTAATTAAAAAAAATTACTTCAGGTCAGTTTAACGCACTTTCGGTCGAAACCGGAAGTCGGTAATACCCAAAAAAAGATAGAGCATCCCTGATTTGGTAAATCATAAGCATATAATCAAGTATAATTTTCTAGACTTACTCTCAATGTGCGATAGTTTTTGTTATCCCTCCGCGGCTGTATGTACATATGTACCTATGCATTTACTACCTCCAACCAACCATTTCTTTCCCAGGCAATTATGATTTATAAGTTTTTAAGCAATTTCTTTTTTCTTTTGTTTTTTTTTTTGACTCTACAACAAAAATTATAACTACTCTAGCCACAATTACTGCAACTCAGGAATTTTTCAGATTTCCTACGTACACACAAATGTAATTAGCAGTTGAACACTTGTGTGCGGCCACACTCGGACTCACAATTTTCCATTTTCCTCGCTGCTGCCGCAATTAGTGTAGCAAGCAAAAAAATACATATGTACATATAAAAATCCGAGAAAACACCTATAAGACGACCTCATTGCTGGCACATGCAATAGCAGACTCTTGGCGGTGTGTGTGCTGCATTATGAAAACAAATAGAATACGCAAGAATTTACCTGCTTTACCGGCGTAGAAAAGGAAAACAAGTAAAACCGGAAAGTATCAGCTTTGGAAAATTTCCTTTCTTTATTTCTGCGCGCTGCAATATTGAGTTATGTGGCAGTCACACCAAACTATAGAGAACTCAATAAATGCACAACAACAATGGGGTCGCACCAGTGTTGCCAGATCAATAGTTTTAATTGTAAATTACCGTTTGTAGGCTACCTTACAGTTTTTTTTTTTAATACCTTCTATTAAAAATTACATATTTTTTAATTTAAATATCAATCAATAAACTAAAATTTCTCTTAAGTTTTTTTTTTGTAATTTTTTAGATAGAAAATGGGGCTAAAGGAGCAATGTTTCCTCTTGTGAAACCAATAAGTTCAGTTGCCCTTTGCATTCCAGTCGCCACAGCAAATGTGGAAAGAATATTTTCCCAAATCAAATTAAATAAAATGAGAAGTAAACTAGAAATTCCAAAACTCGCTGATAGTTTAAGAAATAAAGATTTCTGAAAAAAGAAATGTTTCAGGTTGATGCAGTTTTTTTTTTGTATAACTTTTAAGTTATTTCATTTGTTATTTAAATTTAGTAAAATGAAAAACCCTTAATTTTCCAAAAGCTCTCTTAGTTTTTGCAGATTTACAGTTTTTTGGTCGAAAAAACAGGATTTTTCGGGAATTTACGGTGTTTTTCAAAAAAAAATTTAATTTGGCAACATTGGGTCGCACCTACTTGCTTACTGCTTGCCGCTCTCATGTTGCCTTTCACTGCCTGCTGAGCCTCGTAGTTTGCTCACCGCTTATCTTTTTTGCTGGTAATTTAATATTTCTTTGGACTGCATTTATCTCGCAAGCAATGCAACAACATCGACTTCATGCGCTTCGCTCTTTATAGGCCATACTTAATGACTCATTGGCCTACTTTTATTTACCTTATTGACCTACTCGCTTGTCCAGAACATTGTTGATGGTTCGGAATATGTATTTTCGTAGGACCCCGCTCTACCCTCTTGCTTTTCCTTACCTTCTCCCTCTCAATGCATGCCTGCATTGGCGCATTATCGTCGCCACTTTCGGCAGCCTGCTGTTATAGCTAGGCGTGGCTGTTAGTGCCGGAACTCTATTGTTTATTTTTATCATTTGGTGTTTGCTGTTTGGAGAACGCAGAAAACAAGCGAATGAAAAATACCAGCAATCAACAGACTCGGCCCCGATAAGGAAGTCGGCGTGAGGAAAATAATAGTTAAATGTTTGTTCAATGTATGTATATGTATATGTGTGTGAGCAAAGCATATCTATCTGTGCCAGTCAAACACAGACAGAATTGGAAAATCACCTGCTTTGGCGCGGCATTCAGTGGCTTCCTCTCACACAGCTCGGTTTGTCTTTTTGCACTCTACTCCTTCATTTTACTTTGGCTTGGCTCGGCTTTCCCTTGCCCTCGCTATTCCAAGCGCCTTGCTTTGCTCCAGCCACCCTCTGCTCTCACTCCACACCATTCCATTAAGCGGCACTTCTTTTGTTCGCTCTAAATGAAGTGAAATGTTAGATTTGCGCGCTTGTCAATATTTGCTCTAAGTTATTGTCGTTTCGCGCTGAAGCGAGTGAACAAATGTGCGAGATATCCAAAGCAAATGTACCAGCAGGTACCAGATAAAGTAAATAACGCGGCTCATTCATTGTCTGCAAATATCTGAGCATTTGGTGTGTCAAAAGAATTTCGATTGCTTTCTTTCCCTAGCCATAACGCTATCTTCTTTGTCTGTTTATTTTTTATTGTTAATTGGAAATTTTCGATTTTCCAACCGAATTCCTAGCCAAACCAAAAAGCGGGCGATATGCGCCTTTAGAAACATATTTCATGGTAATTTCCTGTCATTAAGCCGAAAAATTAGAGTAACACAGCTTCTCTAGCTATCATATTTGTTTGGTACCTATTGAAATTGGATTATACATATTTACTGATTGCGAGTGATTGAAAAGTTTGAAGCTGAAAATTGTTTGTGAGCTGGCTGGTTAATGGAGAAACTTTAAATAGGAGTTAAAATCCTTCAGCAGCAGCGTTGTTCCGCTGCTTACTTCATAATTTGAATGAATTTGGGAATGAAGAAAAGGGGCTGCGAGTTTCCCAGCAACTCGAATCTTGAATAAATTATTTCCCATATCGTTTGAGAAGTGCAAATATGTGATTTTTCGGCGTGCGAAGGAAATCAGAAAAATTTCCAATAACTAGGCATATAATGGTGCATACTTTAAGGCGTATTATTTATTGATTTATTAGCAGTGCGAATGCAAAAACATATAAACAACTCACCCAAATAATGTTCTAGTAAAAATAAAATTTGTTAGGCCGACAACAAACTATGAACAAATCATTTACGCTCTCGTTCTTCTTCCATCTACTTACAGGCCTCGCCGTCGTTCTGGCTCCAGCATTGTTGTTATCGATGGTGACGATTTGAAGCCATGCTTACCGGACGACTATATTAGTGGTCAGCATTATCGGCAACATTCTGGTGATAGCAAAGAAATCGATCAGGAAATGTTGACAATGCTTTCAGTTAATCAAGATAATGGTGAGTGAGAGCTGAAAGCACTTTCTTACTTTCAATTTATTTGCTAATCGTTTTTACTTCGCTGCAGGTCCACATCGTGAGATGGCTGTCGATTGTCCAGATACGTTCATCGCGCGTAACAAGACACCACCACGTTATCCACCACCACACCGTCCACCACAGGTAAATAGTCTTAAGCTTGACGGGAAGTCAAGGAAACCATTCACGTCCGCAATGAAAAAGAATTGCACCAATCACTCAAATACCCTACCCAATAAGCACAAATGCATGCAAGCACACAGCACCCGCAATAAATCCAATACACTCACTTACACCAAAACGCACATTTCAAAACATTCAACACAGACGCTTAGCTCACTGAACGCACAATCATCTACCAGATTATTTTCCAAATCACAAAACTCACCGCCATCATCAACAACAACCGCATCATTATCATCGACTGATATTACCGCTTCACAATTACCAATACCAACAACACCATCACCACCACCTCTGCCAACTACTCCCCCACCCAAAATTCTAACTCACTCATCTCCAACAGACTTTGTACCCATCACTGCTTCAATAACCAACATCAATACTGAAACTAACCAATTCATAACACAATGTGTTGAAATATATAACGGTAATGGTAACAGACTAATTGTTACGTATCATTCTAAATGCGATTCACCAACACCACCACCACCACCACCACCACCACCACTTCCATTACTACAACAACCATCGACAACAATCACACAAACGACCACGACGACGTCAATCAATACTTCACCAACATTATCCACGAAATCCACAATGACAATCAAAAAAATTGCGCTACTCAACGATACGAATACACTGTTGCAACAACAAAATTTGTACAACCAACAACACCAACTGAAATTGGATCAAATTGAAAATTACGAAAATTATTTGGCCACTGAAACGGAACAACCACAACACTACCACCACGCACAACAACAAAAACAATTGAATTTTGAACAACTACAACATTATTCAATTCAGCCACCAACACAAAGCAAAACTACCAACAATACACAGCAGCAACAACAACAGCCACCCAATAATGGCCACAAGAAGGCCTATCCGCCGCACAGCAGTAAATTTCCGGTGACCAGCAGCAATCCGAATGGCAGCGGCACTCCGCCCGGCACCGCCGAGGAGTTCGAGTTGATGGCCATCGATGGTAGTGGGCTGCTTCAGCGCGGCGGTTCCTCATCCTATTCGTCTTCCTATGAAGAGTCGATCAGCAAGAGTTCATTCGACTCCATTGCCTACTGTCATTTACATAACAAAAACAACAACATTAACAGTCTCAACAATAACAGCAACAACATAAACCATAATCACTACAACAACACGAGTAATTCATCCAACTCATCAACGCCATCAAAGCGTTGTGTTGGCGTCGGTGGTGTCGTCAGCGCAGATAGCTCTGGCACGGGCTCAGCGTCCGGATCGGGCGGCATTGGCAGCTCATTGAACAGCTCGGCCGGCTCGTCACCCAGCGCCAACGATGCACCGCCGTTGATTGAAGGCTTGGGCGGTGCGCCGCCAGAGTATGAGTTGCTGCCACTGGCGATGTGTAAGCAGGTGGCCGCTAGCCTACTGCAACCACCAGCGGGTAAGCACCGCGAGCTGCCCGTCGATGTGCCGGACAGCTTTATTGAGATAGTAAAGACGCCGCCGCGCTATCCGCCGCCACCACATCTGTCTTCGCTCTCATCGCAGATATCGTCAAATTCTTCCAACTCGACGGCGAATACCACACTGACGCACATCAACTCATCGTCGGCTTCCTCCTACAACAACAGCAGTAACATCAACCACAGTCACAATCATACTAACGATAACTCTTTTTCGCCCACGTGCTCCTCCATCTCGGGTTCATATTCGGCTTTGGCATCCATTTCCGCCACGGCTTCGGCTGGTGTATCGTTGTCGGCATGTTCACCGCTCTCCATGGATCCCAATCATCATCAGTCAACGGCAACGACCACAAAGTCAACGTCCGGTGGAGGTTGCCATCCACTGAAGCAATTGGTTAAACAGAAGAGTCTGCTGTCACTGGGCTCGTTGGGCAGCTCTACTGAAAAATTAGATAAATCAGCAGCAACGCAGCGTCAGCAACCACAACCGCAAGTGCCGTCGGGTGGTGGCAGCGGTGGCATCAACGGCGGCACAAATGCAGGCGACGGCTGCTTAATGGTGGCCAGCTTGGTGGGCAAAGGTGGCAAGCCGTCATCCAAGCGCAACGATGAGGTACTACCACCACTTGTTTCTTACTCCTCTGCCCACTCTATTCACTCTGTAAACTTTGTGAAAACTGTAATACGTTTTGGCATCTACCTCTTTCTCTCGCCCCACACTCTTTGGTGCAAACTTATGCTTGGTGTCACACTGCCTCCTGTCGTATTTGCGTTGTAACAGCAGCAGTGCTATGCTCGGCTCGTAGCTCCTCTGTAGTCCTTACTTACGTCTCACCGTTTTTCTTTGGTGCTATCACGGCTGGCTGGTTTGCCGATCCTTTGTACATTTTTCTTTCATATTATATTCTTTCTCTTTTTATTTTTGTTATTTTAAACGTAAGTAGCTGTAGCCTCTTTGTAGTTTCCTGTAGTTTGTTTAGCACTATTTCCAGTACAGCGGGTTTCAGCTTTATCTGAAAAAAAAAAGAAAAATGTATGCATGTAAATATAAGTATATTGATAGATCGAATGGTCTCAGCTTTTTCCTTATCCTTTTCTACCAAGTATCGAGATTTTGTTGTCTTATTCCCAAAGTTAATTAAAGTGTTTTCTCATAGTAATTTGTTGAGATTTATGTTCGCGCTTCCCTCCTTATTTCAAAGTGGAGCAAAAACCCCTTAGCAAATGTCTCCCTCAGATAGCCCTCATACACAAGTCTCTGTATCCTTATTCACATCTTTATGTCTTTATCTAAGTTAAGCGCACTTAACTTAACCACACGCTCTTAGGTGTCACTATTCATAAAAAGTTGTATGTACACAAGATTATTCCATATCTGCAGGGCCACCCATAAATTCGCCAAAGTGCTACTTTTTTGGAGCTGCCACTGCCAATGAACTCGCTTTTATTACGACATTCCGTGGCGTCTCTTAAGTGGTTGCACTTGTCCTTGTCACACACGCTTGAGCTGTCGCTGCTACTGTGCGGAAACACTGAGCTTTGCTGCAACATATTAAAGCGCTTTAAAGCCCCAAATTGCAGCCAAATGTGGCAGCAACAAATTACCAACGCGTGCTGGCACAAATCCTTTGCTCGCCAGCTGCCCAGCCTCCTCACTCAACGTGCAGCAGCGCGCGCTCGTTTTTTGCGCGTGTGACGCCTCACGCTGCGTCTGCTTTTTATTTTCTCTGTCGTATTTTGTTGACAGTTATGACGCACGAAACGAATGTGTTGCAATTGAATATGCGACAGCTCCTGCTGGCGTCTGTGGCAGCGTCGTCATCGCCTTCTCAACAAATCGGGTGGCTTTGCGTAACTGTTGCAGTGGCACATGTTGAGCGTTCTCTAATGGATGGTGTGAATTTTTATGACAGTTGCATTCAAAGTGGCTGCTTTTTAGCGATGTCAAGTCGTTGTCATCGTGCGCTCATAAATTTCATATTTGCCCCAAAAAATTGCGTAGTCATAAAAAAGTGGTGCGACGTGGCGTGGACTTTGGGAAGGCGAGTTCACCGATGCAGATGAGCAGACACAATAAAATGAGTGTGAAATTGCATACTTAATGCGGCAATTGATGCCACATGTGGTACGAGGGAAGCGTTCTGCCAAACACTGCCATGCTTTTGGCAGATCTAAGTGATCTAAGTATATTCGACGTGATTTTCCGACGAAACCATCAAAGTTTTTAGAGGCTATCAGTGAAATTTGTTGTTTTTTCTTTTAATCTCTCTTTATTTTTCTGTCTCGAAGCAGTATGCTCCTTTCGTTGTGTTATGCGCGCTGTTCATTTAATACGTTGCACTGTATGACTCATTCACTGCTTCCTGATCAAGAGTTTTCTAAACGCTGAGATCCGCGCGCCATGTTCATTACCAATTTTCGCGTCTACAAAAAAGATGTATTTTCTTAATGAGGTGTTGGGAAGCTAGTAACTCAGAGATAATAAGCTTTCTACATTTTGTTATGACTAGAGGATTGTATGGGATGTGCTAGTATATTGCAAGCGATGCAAAGTTTTATATGCGCTCTTAAANATTTTCGCGTCTACAAAAAAGATGTATTTTCTTAATGAGGTGTTGGGAAGGTAGTAACTCAGAGATAATAAGCTTTCTACATTTTGTTATGACTAGAGGATTGTATGGGATGTGCTAGTATATTGCAAGCGATGCAAAGTTTTATATGCGCTCTTAAACTTCATTAATTCATTATTCATAAAAATAAACAATATGTATGAGAGAAATTACACCCATGTACATACATTTTTGTTTAATTTTTACAGTCACATTCTTGCCAGCCATTCGAGTTAGCATTAATTTCACACAGAAATGTTNACTTCATTAATTCATTATTCATAAAAATAAACAATATGTATGAGAGAAATAACACCCATGTACATACATTTTTGTTTAATTTTTACAGTCACATTCTTGCCAGCCATTCGAGTTAGCATTAATTTCACACAGAAATGTAATAACTCAAATTCCAATCTCGGCCAGCTAGGAGTATCTCACTAGAAATCTCTGCTTTCGCATTTGAATTGTGGAAAATTAATTCCGCATAAAAGATACCATTTTGTTCGCAATTAGTTTTGCTTTGCTACTGCAGGCACGTGCAAAATTTTCTCAGCTACCTTAACGTCTAACCCCTCACGTGCTCAGCACGGCGTTACTGAGCTGTGTGTGTACTAACTGGCTACTTTTTGCTGCCGGAAATTAAAGCAATCGTAATAATTTTAAATGTTGCCAACGCTGGCATGTTCCGCCTGCTGCACCTTGCGCATCAGCTACGGCGTGTGAAAATCGCAGTGCTGCGGCCACCATTGCAAGCTTCGATTGATGTGTTGCTGGGTTAGTGCACATGTTGCAGATGGCGATGGCTTATCGCATTGGTAGCGGCAATGTAAACGTGCCACAAATGCTATGTATGTGCGCAAAGCTGGTGCCGGTGACTAGGTTGAAAAGTCATGCTGTAGGCGACTGGAAAATTATGTTTCGGTGCTGACCTAAAAACGGATAGCAAAAATAAAACAGTTGGCGCGCAGGTAAATGCTAGCAAGGAGCACACACGGGTCCCACCTAATCTCATAGTATACTGCATCGGAATGCAGTTAAGCGTTACTCCAAAATGTCGGGGGAGCAGTTGATCCAATTCGCGGCACTTTTTTATGAGCAATACTTTTACTAGTGGCAACTAAAACGGTTTATGTTAATTTTCATACTTGACGTGAGTGCTGTGCTAAGTCGCCATGGACATAAATGTTTTGGTCGCGCAAAAGTTTTGGTGTCGTATAAATTTCATGAATCATAAAGTTTATTTTTCATTTAGGAACTTTTTAAAGTGCTAAAAGTAGCGAAAGGAATTCCTAGAGTACTGTTAAGTTGACTAGTCAGCTAAGTTGTTGACCGTGAAAGAGCGAGCAATCAATGCAGTTGCAGTTCATGATATACTCAGATCTAACTGGCGGTGATTAAACAAGGCAAATGCTCCATTTGAGAATGAATTTATGTAATTAATTTTGCCACTGTTCATGTTCGGCTCTTGTAGCTATGCTCCGAAATTATAGATTCCTGGTGTTGATGGATCTCAGGGTGAACGAGCAGCACCTAAGAAGAATGAATGCTGTTATATATGGTTTTCTATATTGGCTTTACAGTTATGCTCCTGTTAGCGGAACTAATAGGTCTCACTGTGTACTTAGAAAATAAGTTTAACTCTGGAAAATTATATTTACGTATCTCTTCTGAAAACTTACCTTTCTCTCTTCAAGCGCTACGCAGGTGTGAGTTTTTTTATTTTTATTTCATTTATTTCTACTTGGCCATATCCAGCTGCCCTTAGATTTGATCTTGAAAAAATATAGCTGAAAGACATTACAATAAACAAATACCCAAAATTAAATTCTCATTGACCTGCTTTTTAACCTCGTCGTGTATTATTTTAGTTCGGAGAAGTTTACATCCCTGCCGCCGTAATTGGTAAAGTTTTCGTCTTTATTTGGTACATTCTTTTTGGAATTTCCCGTATAAAGATCTATGTAGGCAAAGTAAAATTACAGCAAACAACTAATGTGAATCTCTTTTCAAAAACTTACCGTTTAGCTTTCTGTGTGAAATATCCGCCCATGGCAGAATTGAAATTACTGCAGCTCCACTTATTATGGTTTTCACTGCATGACTTGCGTAATTTTTTCTTTTTATTTCATTTATTTTCTTCAATTGTATTAATTAACCATTATTTCAACTTGCGTTTTAGTATGGTCATGTCGGTCATGGCACTGACACTTTTTTGACAACATCCCTCCGCTGTTTATAGGAAATCGCCCTTCTCACCTGCAGCTCTGAAATATAAGCAAAACACTTGAACACTTTTATTTTCATTTAGCTTACACACTTACTCACCCACTCGTTTCCACAACCTCATTTTCCATTTATGTACGCTACATGCTCAACTTTCATACTGACCCACAACGAAACTAACAGCTACTACTAGTAACTAACAACTGTAATGTGGATAACGGCCTGTAAAAATATTTATTAAAATTCTTTTGGTTTTTTATTTAAAATTTTATTAATATGCATTTTTTTACTCATCCTCCTTCGCTGCCGCCGCAGTTGAATGGTTCTGTGAAACCGGTTCCGCCACCGCGCGATCACTTGCGCATCGAAAAGGATGGTCGCCTGATAAATCGCACGCCAGCGCCACAACTTCCAGACCGGCGTATGGGTAGCAGCGGTGTAGGTGCGCCCCAGCAAATTGCACAAATTGTTGAACCGACACTGGAGCAACTGGACAGCATCAAGAAGTATCAGGTGAGTCAATATGTAAAATTATTTTCGTTTTTATTACAATGCAATTACTTATTCAGCGTACGAGAGAAAACAATACGCGTTTAGATCTGCAAATTTGTTGGATTGCGTACGAAATTTGATCAGCTGTTCGCAGCACAGTTACTTATTTTGTTTTTGCTAGTAAAGCTTGTGTTGTAAAATTCCTAAAAATATGCAACACTTTTGCGTCAAACGCTCTTCCTCGCTCGAATGATTTTACGTTGCGCCAATGCAGTGGCAGCAAAATTGTTTATTTTGCAGGCACCCTGGCATTGTAAATATTTTGTCCAGCATAGATTTGTGTTGGACGTGGCATACGCTTGATTTAACAATTTTATGAATTTATGGCATTTTACGTGCGGGAATAGTTCGCACATGCTGGTCGTAAAAGTTTGTGCCACAAAATAGTTTGGGCTATTGTGGGAGAGAAGTATGCAAGAGTGCCCTGGGTATCTTTTAGAAACTTCCGGTAGAGAAATAAGAGGGGAAAATCAAATAATGTATATGAGTTTTAGTTCCAGAGAAGGGAATAATTAATTCATAAATACATATTTTAAATAATTTTTTTTACACTAAAAAATATATTTTAAATGTGACCCAAATACCTCTTCCAACCATGCGTCGGCAAACAATATAATCATCGAACCGCAAGAGTATTTGAGCACCTGTCCACCTCTCAGCGCGCGCAAAGCCAAATATGCAAAGCACAAATAATGTAGAATAGAAATCAAAAGTGCTTGGGAAAATGTCCGCATATGAAAAGTTCCAGAGTGGTGTGAGTAAAAGCGCAAAAGCCGCAGTGCAACAAGAGCCCGGGGTAGGTGAAGTAAAATATGAATAATTCGCATGGAACAAGTGAACAAATGAAATAAAAAGAAAAAGAAAAAGCAGAGTAAATACAAAGCAACGAGAGTGAAATATGCAGTGCTGCGAGTTGCATTGAAAAATGATATTGAAAATTCAATGAAGCCAACCGCAATAACTGTGTAACTTCTACAACAACAACAAGCAAATATAATTTGTAACGATAACAATAATCATAAGAACTATAGAGTATACCTAGATTGAGCCAGGCAAGAGCACTGAATGAACAGAAAAGGTATGGCAATTGCACTAGCAGGTGAGTGAAAAAAAAAGCAACTGGAAGCAGTCGAAGGTGAGTAGGGGAGCCATAAATGTGGAGGAGTAGTATCCCCAAAGCACTTGCGCAAATATGAAGGCAAACACTGGAAATAAAATGAATGAAATAAAAAGAAAAATATAACTAAAGCCAGCAAAATAAATATAAATGAAAAGCGGAAATGTGGCTGACGCAGATGGCATGTAACAAAGCCCGTTATGCTTTGGTAAATATCACAGCCGCGTAGGTATACACAGTGCATTGGTAATAAGTGTCTATGGCTGTATATATGCAGCATGCAAAACGTGGTGAATAGAGCGCGTACGACTCAAGTGCATGCAGCTCCAGAATCATTGCATACTTTGCGGCTTTAGTGCACGAACGGCACAAGACAGGCAATGCAGTTGGGTGAGAGAGTAGCAAAGATGGTGTGAGCGAAGCGAAGGCTAAGGGGTCAAAAGGTGAAGCAAATACAATTCCAGCAAAAAAAAAAACAGAAGACGGAAAGGGCGCTGAAAATGTTTGAATTAAAATAAATATTAGATGGGATTAGTTTGCAAAGTGGATTGAAGAAAGCAAAATGTGCAGGATGCTGAAGAAAATCCTATGAATATTGATCATAGTGGGATTGAAGGGGCAGTGCAGCGCAGCGCAGCAAAAGGTGAAGAGTAAAGTAAGGTAAAGAAATTCAATGGATTTCTATTGAATGCAGTGCGCCGCAGGGAGTCTCTTGATTTGCAAATGGAAATAACTGTAATAGAGTATGCTACTCACGGAAAACAAATGACAATGCATAAAATTGATTGGCAAAATTTGCTAAAAAATTTACGAAATTAAAATAAAAGATAAGCCCTGACTGAAAAGTCAAGTGAAGGTTGACAATTAGATATACATACATACATACATGTTACTGTTGATCACACATAGACTGTTTAATAACTACATTATGGCCACATAAGATATCTTAGAAGCCATGAAACATTCATAAAACAATTTGGCTACTAAAATAAGAAGTTTAACACTTGAACCGATAACCATTTGGGGCAGCGTCGAAGGCAGGGAAAATCTTTTTATCTGGAGCTACCGGTCCTTTTGTCAAGACATAATCCAACTTATTTATAGCCCTTCACACACACTTTTGTCTATCAACGGAATGCGTTAATTTGCGCATACCAAAGCCTACCTATATCGTAAATGAGCCCACGCGCCATGTCGCCTTCTCTTCACAAAGGAAGTTTATCGCCCACAAGTGCGCTCACCTGGGCCTTAAATAGCTACATAAATACACTAGCAAGCAGATTACCTGTGCAATCATTGTGACAACTTCTCGCATAAAACTGACCCGCGCCCAACACAAGTGGGGCGGGGGTAAAAGTGTTTTGAAAACCCAATGTTTGTTGTTCTTCATAGTTCTTAGCATATTTATCAAGTCATGAATTTGAGTGGCAGAAACTTGGTTGCCAACTCACTATGGCACTTTATGCCTTTTAATAACAACAAATTGAGCCGAGAACTTTTCAGATAAAAATAAACAAAGTTTTGTGCGAATTGCCCGCATAACTGTATTTGTTCACAGTTGTAATTCTATGTACATGTATGTGTATGTGTGTGGTGCGAAAATCGAGTAAATGCGTTGACAGCGATGACGCAGGGATGCTTTGTGCGGTTGGCAGGCGGGCAATATTGTAAGCATCAGCAGCAAGAGCCGTTACAAAAATGGTTGACAGCTTCCGGTGAACGCCAAAGGCAAGACATAAAAATAGACGATTGCTAATAATAGCACTGCGGGAAGTTCGAAGGCGCATGTGGCTTGGGAGTGAGATTGAAAACGGAACTCAAGGAAGCGCAGAGAAGCGAAAAAGGGGGGAATAGCCTGTCGGAAGTCTTTGCGTGCAGCATTGAAGTGCCAAAGTGTCAAAGCGCGGAAATGTGAAAAAGTGCCACTCGAAGTTAAATATTATGCAAATTCTTGCTAGAGCATCAACCTCACGCGGTTTGTTGCGGATATGAGGAAAATCGGGCGATGAAGGGATATTCTATTGCAAGGCTTTGTTACTTTTAAGTGACTGACAACCGAATCATTCACACTTTCGTTCAGTTATAAAATTTATTCTCTAAGTGAACAAATTTTTGGTCATCAAAGCTGTGGGCATTATAAACAAAATATTGAGTAGCTTTCTTGCAAGCTGCAGTTAATGTTAATTGAAAACCATTTCTTACCGTTCTTTGTTGACGTGAGTAGGCTGGACTACTATATTCGGTTTATTTTAAGCCTAAAATTATGCATTGGCCTATTCTTCAAGGTTTTTCGAAAATACTATACTTTCATTCAAAATTAAAGTCTTGTCAGTATTTTAGAGTAGATTGCACATGCGTATTTCTCTAGATGAAAGAATTTTCGTGCAGCGAAGCGTGATACTTCAGTAAAATTAAAGTTTGCTAAGGTTAGGTCAGTTTTGATCAAGTGAGTTGCCCATGTGGATTCAGATAGATATCCATTGCAGTACGCGGCAGAGGTTTACCACCATTCTAAGCCTCCATGTTCTTAGGATCATTCTGATTCTTCCAAAGAAACTGTGCACTTTCGGGACAAAAAATATTCAAGGGATATTCGCACTTCTAAATGGAATCTGCGCTTTTCTCAGCTCTAAGGTTCGAAAAATGATTACCACGGGTGCCCTGGATGACGTCCTTGCGGCTCGATAATAATAATTATTTTTTCGATTATCGATTATAATCTTCTAGTCGTAGGTCTGAAAGTCTGTTAAATTTCCTGGAAGAGATACGATTAATATTTTCACAATACTAACTTTTTCTCCATCCGTCGAAGAAAAGAACGTCAAATTAAGTACAAATGCGATCTCGTAGCTTAATGAACAGAGCCTCTTGTGTCAATACTCGTTCTGTGCAAAATATAAACATATCCTCTGTCCGCGATTCATTGTCTCCCTGTACGCGCTAAGTCTGAAGATCGGCCTATGTAACTCACATACATATGTAGATGCCTCACTTTCGCCGTTTACCTTCAACTAATTCTGTGTTTGAAGCACTCTCCTTCATTACTTTTGCCTTCTTTACTTATGCGCCATTATAAATACAGACAAACATTCATTCAAGTTTGCCGCCTTTACCTCTTTTATTTTGATTACAAAATTTTCAGTTGACCCATTCTATTGTGCGTCTTCATTCTATGACCGCCATTGTCTTTTTTATGTGCTCGCTTTATGTTGGCGCCATAAGCGTGAAATGACTCGCTTTTGCCATGTCATACCAGTTCTTCATTAGTCCATCATTTGGCAGTCAAAACAGTGCATATTTTATGTGGCACGCAATTTGCTTTATTTTCGTTGTTGTTGCTGGCGCTTAACCGCTTTTCGTTCTCAGTTCAAATGTCACTTTCTGTTTGCCACTTGGCAAAGACAAATTCGATGTTTTGTCGTGCAATTTTAATGACGAGGCGGTTCGAAAGTGGTTGTGGTGGTAGTTATCTACTTGAGTGCAATTTCTCTGAATTTTTTCCCTTGAACGCATTTTCTTTTTTCTCTATATTTTAATTATCTCTTGGCTGCATGCAAAGCATGCTAAGGCGGTTAATCGCAGCTTAGTGTGGTCATCAAAATCGACGAATTTATCGAATCAGCATTGTAGACTTTTTTCCTTAGTTGGAATGCTTCATTTTCTATGTTTATGTATATGTATGTATACCACTGCTGCACCTGCTCCACCACCTGCGCTTTATGCATGGTTTTGCTTCGATGCCTCTTTTATCATCCGCTCAAACTTATTTACATACATACGTATGTAGTTGCCGTCAGTCGCTTGCCTCACCAAGCTTTTTATAAGCCAAGCTTTAGTTAGCCCAGTTTGTTTTGTTGCTTCTTTTAATTTGTTTATTGTGAGTTCGTGAAATGGTAATTAGTTGCATTCGCTACTCAACCAGTTCGAAATAAAAAATAAAAGGAAACTAAAAAATTTAGCAGGCTACCTGANAAGTGGTTGTGGT